AAATAGAGACAGTTTTGTTTTGTGTTTCCAGGGGATACAACACCCCAGGCACAGTGCTCTGCACCCCCCACACTCCTGCACCTAAGAGACACATGTTGTATTGTGTAAAGTTTCTCTGCAAGGCGCCTGACAGCGGGGTGGACAGCGTTTCGGATTCGTAGTCCTGAGGTTCCGGGTTCGATCCCCGTTGAAGATGGAGACAAATGGGCAAAATGTTTCTTTCGCCCCTGATGCCCCTGATACCTAGCAGTAAATAGGTACCTGGGAGTTAGACAGCTGGTGCGGGCTGCTTCCTGGGAGTGCGTAAACTATCAGGAGGTCTGGTCGAGGACCGGGCCGCGGGGACGCTAAGCCCCGAAATCATCTCAAGATAACCTCAAGAAGATAAGTCCCTTCCTCAAGAACCAGTAACAGCACAACAGGTGCGATGTGAGAGAGTCAGACAGATGTTCTCTGTGCAGGTATTTAAGTAGTTCGAAGCTCCTACCTCCCAAAATATGCACAATTATGAAAGCAGATTTAGCCACCCGAAGGTTATCTTGAGATGATTTCGGGGCTTTTAGTGTCCCCGCGGCCCGGTCCTCGACCAGGCCTCCATCCCCAGGAAGCAGCCCGTGACAGCTGACTAACACCCCCAGGTACCTATTTTACTGCTAGATAACAGGGGCATAGGGTGAAAGAAACTCTGCCCATTGTTTCTCGCCGGCGCCTGGGATCGAACCCAGGACCACCGGATCACAAGTCCAGCGTGCTGTCCGCTCGGCCAACCGGCTCCCCTAGGTGAAGACACCACTGCCACTTGAAGAGTTAAAAAAGAATTCAAGAGCAAAGTGTGTGGAACTCTCCCCGTTACTACAGACAACGGTCAAGAGGAAACGAAGATCTTGCTCTCAGACTCCCAGGTCGACATTAACAAGCGACGTGTCGAACTAAATTACAATAATAACCACAAAGACCACAATAACTAATTAACGACCTAACAACACTCGGACTAAGAAACAACAGTGACGCAGCACACCACCACTTACCAGGAAAACCTTAAGTTGGGGGGGGGGGTGGTTAAGAAGGGAGGAAGGTGGTAGTTAAGATCACCGTATTGGTCAAGAACAATCACACTAACCGACACGCACTATACGGAGTCCCTGGGCCCACCGGACACTAATGAGCACCCCCCTCTGAAGGAATGTAATTATCAAACCAACGGGGCTCTAGAGAAAACCGAAAGCTTCTTTAGTTCTTTAAATCACGAATATTTTACCCTTAATGAGCTCCAGGTAATGAATGTGGAGCCTAACAAAGCATAACACAAGCCTGAAGAACAGAATCTGAATTCATTTTCCCATAATAATGGATGAGTGGGCTGAGGGCGGAGGACGTCTGCTCGCTGGAAAAGAATTGGAACAATCTGCGAGGAATAAGTAAGACAAATTAATATTCGATCGACTAAGAAGAAATAAAGCAATGGAATATTTAGAATTTACTATCTAAATGCGCCTGTTTTTTTTTTTTTTACTTTTCGTTTATGATAGGTCTGGGTGAGAGAGAGAGAGAGAGAGAGAGAGAGAGAGAGAGAGATTTGCCATTCAGCATACAATTAAACTTTTTGAACACAATTCCTGAAACAACAAATACAAATTAACAGTTCACACACACACACACACACACACACACACACACACACACACACACACACACACACACACACACACACACACACACGACCACACTGACTGTACAAAAGAATTGGAATTGGAAGCGGTATAGTACTGGACATGCCAAGGGGCCTGGAGCCCTGGCTGTCTGGGGTTCGAATCTTTCTGGGAGAAAAGAGTTTTCTTAAGCAGGTTAGCCTGGGGACCATTCAACCTTGACGCACAAAGGATACACGCGTGTCTCCAGTATGATGAAGTGATTTGATGAGATATCTGTGCCCAAATGGTCCCCGAGTGCTGTCGGGACTTGGGTTAAGGGTCAGACTACTTCCAGTTCTTGTCTCGCCCTAGTAGCAAGCCGTTTATGTGTGTACTCACCTAGTTGTCCTTGTGAGGGTTGAGCTCTGGCTCTTTGGCCCCGCCTCTCAACTCTCAATCAACTGGCAACATGCGCGCGTGTGCGTGTGCACGGGCGTGTGTGTGTTTTGGAGTTTATATCTAACCGTTTCCAGGATGCAGCTCACAACTGCAGTCTATCTCACAGGCACTTACCTTTGTGGTACTAGGTGAGCAGATGCATCAGGTGAAAGGAAACGTTGGATAAATGTTTCCGTCTTGCCTTAGGGATGGAACCCGCGATGCTGGTTTGCGAGTTGATGTAACGAAACCATTAACCCATCCACTCTCTCTCTCTCTCTCTCTCTCTCTCTCTCTCTCTCTCTCTCTCTCTCTCTCTCTCTCTCTCTCTCTCTCTCTCTCTCTCTCTCTCTCTCTCTCTCCCTCTCCCTCTCCCTCTCTCTCTCTCTCCATCTCTCTCCTTCTCTCTCTCTCTCTCTCTCTCTCTCTCTCTCTCTCTCTCTCTCTGTCTCTCTCTCTCTCCCTCTCTCTCTCTCCCTCTCTCTCCCTCTCTCTCTCTCTCTCCCTCTCCCTATCTCCCTCTCCCTCTCCCTCTCTCCCTCTCCCTCTCTCCCTCTCCCTCTCTCCCTCTCCCTCTCTCCCTCTCCCTCTCTCCCTCTCCCTCTCTCCTTCTCCCTCTCCCTCTCCCTCTCTCCCTCTCCCTCTCTCTCCCTCTCCCTCTCATCCCCAGCATGCTAGACTCAAACAACGGCAGCAACGACAACAGTCAACGGATCAGGAATGGAAAGAATGTAATAATAAGTGAAACGACAGGAAACCCAGAAGTTGCTAATGAACCTCTTGACCCCTAATGAGTGCCCCGAGGACCATAAGGACCACAAACTTCGAAGAGAATGTAAAAGAAATGTCAAATAAAACCAAAGGCGGTAAAAAAAATAAAAACTAATTACGGAAAAGGTAAATACCAACCATAACGATTTTGGTAAATATTTTACAAGAGAGAGCAATTTACTAAATACAGTTGGACCTGTAATTCAGGGTGACGTCAAACTGTACTTTGTAAATAGTGGTGGGCGATGGTAGGATGGGGTTATGGAGCGTGGCAGTAGGGGTAATCGCCGCAATAACGGTGACGACACGATAACTGAGCACAATAATGATGACAGGATAGCAAGTGAAATGATAACGGTGACATAAACTATTGTATCCCAGCTCCCAGTGAGGCCCAGCACGCCGCCCAGCACTACAAAGTCACAACAGTTAAGCACTCTCTCTCCTCGTCTTTTTTGACACACTGTACTCCACTTCATATAGTCTAGGGTAGCTGCACTAATGCAGATGTACCTAATATGTTAATAAAAAAAAAAAAATCCCCGGAACTACTACGCCTTGAGAGCCATCAGCAACTTGTCGATCAGAGTCAGACCCTCAAGGTAACGAAGACATTGTTGCAGCCACTCACACACCCAGGTACTGACGTTGCCAGGCGGGACAGGCATATAACAGCATGAACCACAGCGGAAATAAATGCATTACATGAATGGGTAAGGAAAGAGCTTCTGTACTGAGTCATAAAACACTGGAATATGGAAGGGCTTCTCTATCAACAATACCAATGAACCCAAGAATACTGAAGAACCCCTTTACGAACCAAGTCCAAGAAAAACGGAATATGGAAGGAATCCTTTACCAACAACGCTAAAGAACACTAAAATACTGAAGGGATTTCTTTACCAATTAAGACTAAGAACACCGGAATATGGAAGGGATTCTTTATCAACGGTGTCAAAAAAACAGTTAAATGAATATCTCTCTCACATAAGGACAAGATGAGGGTTGAGGAATGCCTCCTTCCACTTGCGGCTCGCATAATTAGTATTCGACATTTTGACTGTAATACTGTCTCTAACTCCCACCCAGTGTTGGGGTTCTACCTAGTACCTAGTACCAATCTCACAGTAGATAAGATTGTGAGAAAATGGAGTTAAACTATTGTCGTGATAGCACTAGTAGAAGTAGTAGATGCAAAAGGTGGTAGTATTAGATGTAGTAATTATTGATGTATAAGTCGTGCTGGTAAGATTAGGTTCAAAATTCTTCTATTAATATATATATTAACGCACTTTTCTTCAAAACTGCGTTATATTTTTGCCTAGCACACCGCGTGGGGAAACAAATGGAATGAGAGCCTCGTGCTTTCTTTTCACGAGGCTTTCGTGAAAAAAGAAATAACTTCTTTCTTTTTCTCTTTCTCGATATCATCAGTCCAGGTAAGGTTCGTAGATTCAGTAAGAGAAAGTTAAGTATTCCACCAGATAACCTATATCTTAAAACCTTAAGGTTCTCTGTTATTTACAACTAAATATATCTACATACCATTCTCTTTCTTTTTCGATAATTAATACCTTGATTTCTATAGGTTTAGAATATAAATTTATAAATGCGTTGACATGGTAAGGGTTGTCTTTATCTGTGTTATCTTTCTCTATCTCACTTTGGCTTATTTTCCCATTCGCTATTTTCTGCATGCTCGTTCATACACATTATCGTGTCCAGCTTCTGTTCAGCTTCCTGGGTCCATATTTACGCCTTTCCTTCTTCTATCTCACACTATCTATCTATATCCAACTTCCTTGCCCTATCATACGTCTATTTCGTCTCTCAACCCCTTCCCCCTCCCTTTTATCTCTTCCACTTTCCTCCCATTCAAGTTCCCTTTCTCCTCTAACACCCCTTCCATCACCCATTTATTGTCCTCTCTCTCTTGTCTGTCCCTTCCCCTTCCCACTCCCCAGCACCCTCGTCTTTCCACTCACCTCGACCATCCCCCCCCCACCACCCTCCCCCCCCAACCACCCTCCCCCCATCCCCCCAGTCGTGGGAAAGATGTGGGAGAGGGGCTAAAGGTGCGTCTGTGGGCGTGGCTGCGGCAACAGGTGTCATTAATGATCTCGTCCCAGCACGAAATTATTGTCCGCAATCGACCACTTAATGTTCATCCACACCCACGCACCTGTACACGTCACACCCACGCCCACGCACCTGTACACGTCACACCCACGCCCACGCACCTGTACACGTCACACCCACGCCCACGCACCTGTACACGTCACACCCACGCCCACGCACCTGTACACGTCACACCCACGCCCACGCACCTGTGCACGTCACACCCACGCCCACGCACCTGTACACGTCACACCCACGCCCACGCACCTGTACACGTCACACCCACGCCCACGCACCTGTACGCGTCACACCCACGCCCACGCACCTGTACACGTCACACCCACGCCCACGCACCTGTACACGTCACAACCACGCCCACGCACCTGTACACGTCACACCCACGCCCACGCACCTGTACACGTTACACCCACGCCCACGCACCTGTGCACGTCAAACCCACACCCACGCACCTGTGCACGCCACACCCACGCCCATGTCTGCTGTGAGCATGCCCATCTTCTCAGGCAGCTCGACGCTCACACCTTCTCACATGTTTATGTATGTGTCGAAGCGGGTGTCGACTACGACCTTCGACACATCGCGGTACGGAGCATGACATCACATTGTGACTATTTCCTGAGGAAGAACTTGACACTTGACCTGCACCAGAATAAATCTATGTTGGATGTGAAGAGGACAATTTGAAGAACTATGTGAAGAGGACAATTTGAAGAACTATGTGAAGAGGACAATTTGAAGAACAATGTGAAGAGGACAATTTGAAGAACTATGTGAAGAGGACAATTTGACTAGTTTAGTGGTTGCCAGGGCGGAAACTTTTAAACCAATAGAATAAAAAAGCCAATCGTTAAGAAGGGATGGGGAGGTATAGGGAGATAGATTTGTCCACTTGTTGGAAAAATTGATTGAATAGATAATCGCAAAAGTTATTTGCATACATTTTGAATAACGTAGATTATTGAAAGATTGACATATTGGCTTTACAAAGATCCGGTCATGTTTGTGGGGAATATACCGGGATTGGATGCATGAGGAGAATTACATAGGAACAAAATGTGGTTACTAGAACCATGAATTTAACATTAAATAATATTCTGAAATTGTTAATAAGTACAACATAAAAGCTCTTAGCTGCATATGCAGTTAAGCAAGCACTTCCTATACTGGTCTCAATCTTTGGCGGCTTTGTTTACAATTGTTTAAACAGTTAATGTAAGTCCACTGACAAGTTTTCTCTGTGACAAAGATTGATACTGGTAATGGGCTGGATTATCCCCTTCTCTGTGACCTTGATACTGGTAATGGGCTGTAGCAGGTAGGATCCTTAAGGCTGATCTGGCTCATAAATTGCAGAACACAATATACCTGTGGGTACACCCTCACATTTAACATGTATTTTTTACATGGATATGATAAAATAGCTCTATTACTGCAAACACTGATAAGGTGCATGATCTAGGATCTGAACTATACACTCTCTAGCCTAGTCCTAGGAATATCTGTGCTGTTGCACACAAGGCATAATTACACAAGATAAATGTAAATTTGCATACACAAATTATATGCAATAAAATAAACTAACTTGATAAATTAAGATAATGGATCAGGCAATTAAATGTTTGATAGTTTATAGTAAAAGATTATATACACAAGATATATGATTATTCAGCTATATAAGCTCAGTTACTGTATGAGTAGGTCAGAACTTACTGATGATGAGGCGTTGCCTCGCTGCCTAACGACTCTCAATTTATATATGGATGTATTAATGTTATAAAGCATGCTAATTGGCCAATCTACGCTCTAAAACAATTAATAACTTATCCTGAATTGAGAACCGGAGCCTATCTGACCGTTGCCAGATGGAGTCACTCTTGCTGAGACTAGGCTCTGTATTTTAATGATGAATATGGCAGCTTGATGATGTTGATTTGATGTCACAGCGTTGCTGTAATGATTCTAGTTGCTTGCTCAGATATGGAGTGCACGTTGTTGCGTCTCACTTGGTAGATGAGGTGGTGGTGGGGCCTCACTAGCCGGTGGTCCTCCACACTCTTGATTTTGGATATATGTACCAGGAATTCCTCCCTATATACAGTTCAAGACTCTCCCAGTATTTAGGGAGCTATCACTGAAAATTATGAATAGTTTGTGTGTAATATCTTGCTGAAAAAGAGTCTCCAGCCCTACACACGAGTGCACTCCTGGATGTAAACACGAGGCCGCCAGGTACCAGACGATTCTGCCCCACTGGGCGCTTCTGCACACCGGCGTCTGCCCGTGGCGTCAGTCAAGGTGCCGGTAATGGTTATAAAATTATTATTTTCTTTATTTAGACTGAGTGTTGTGATAAAGTTATATCACAAGATAATTGGTTAATGGATTTAAAGATTATTGGCAGTACTTGATAGTACCTTTTGTTTTGAAGTAAGGATTTTGAAAAAATACTATCATTTTGGAATTTTGATTATGGAAGCTTCTTTGGGTTCTACAATATATATAGGTTTAGTGATTACCAATGGAAGCTTCTAGATTCTTAATGATTCACATATGATTCAGATATAGATATGATAGGCATTAACATGAGTGAAATTTTCCCAATGTTTAGTGTATTTCTTGACCAATAATGTAACATAGCAGAGGTCACTGCTCACGAAAAGATGTAGATACAGATTAAGGATGTATAAAGGAAATAAAGAGTCAATTTAAACATTTACGTCCGAGTGGGAAAGAATTGAAATGATTCTGACCTGAGATATACATTACGGATATAAACGATAGACAAATGATATGGAATACAAAAATAGGGAGGGACAAATTTAGAAGAGGGCTGATAATAGCTTCGAAACGATTTACATTGGCTCTTAAAATGAACGCCAAATTGGCAGATGCAAATAATGCCGAGAAATATAGGGTTCTAAGACGGTAGATTTATCGTCTTAGATGATAGATTTACTAGATTTTAATGATGATAGATTTACTAGATATCAACTGAACTCTGTTGAAATTACGAAATCTGAATGTGAAAGGCCTGAGTGTTATGATTTGTTAGGATTTTAACTCAATATAATAAATGTTTAAATGTACGGAATACACACAAATAGGATACTGAGATTAATCTCCAGACGTTTTAGTTAAGTCATTTAATATGCGCCATATACCCATCCCGTGGGCTGTGGGGCACCCCTTACCCATCCCACGGGCGGTAGTGGAACGGGAATGACCAAGTTGTTCTTACAAACTATCTCCTGCTGCCTTGAAGTATCAGTGTCTGATGGTAATTAGCTTTGTGAACGTTTAACGCTTCGCCCAGGAACCAATTAGGGTATCCTACTCCATTGAAGTAATCGTAAACTTTGTTAATTTCGATATCTAACTACTGCTCTAACAACTGTCTAACTACAGATTTGCAAAGCTCCCTATAGTTCTAAGATATGCCGCTGAGAACAGACGCAACAGCGGAAAACCAAAATTCATTTTCAGTTACCCAAATAAAGTCAGAAAGGAATTAGTAGACGTCTTTCAGAAGGAGATAAAGGTGAAGGTGCTGGAGTTTATGAGATTCCTTGTAATGTTTATAGCAACGTATATTACGGCCATGGGTATGTGGCCTTGCGGGCCGCTCCAAGCAACAGCCTGGTGGACCAAATTCTCACAAGTCAAGCCTGGCCTCGGGCCGGGCTTGGGGAGTAGAAGAACTCCCAGAACCCCATCAACCAGGTATCAACCAGGCCAAACAAGCAGGGATCTAAAACCCCGCATTACACAACACAGGTCTGTTAGATATGCCTTAAAAAATACCTCGGCTTTATATAAACATGTAAGTGAGATCGATCACAAAATTATATGGAGTAATTCTTGCATAATTTATCACCAACACTGTGACTTCAAAGGTAAAATAATAGAATATACTTTTATAAGAAGAAAAATAATAGAGATTGGGCAGTCGTTACCAGATTTGGTGAGCGGATATATAACAAGGAGGTTAATACCTAATGCTTACACCTCCACCAGATCACTTGTCTCGACGACATAAAAGCAGCTATAGCTGTCATTCTCGCTTTACGGGCTCACCATAGCCCGTGCTACATGGAAATTTTGTTCCAGTAGCTGAATCTAAAACAACAACAATCACTCTCGCTCACTTTTCAAGAAGTGATTTAATATGTGTTAACTGGCTATTGATTGCTGGTCGCGACGTTTTCATGTGTAGCGCCTCGCTGATGTTCAGTGTTCTGTTATCGTCATGTACTTGACGATTATTTCAGTGTTGCTTGTTAAGATGTCTCTGGTGATGTCAGGTTGTGTGAGGAGATTATATTCTCCTTGATGGAGTCCTGTTGTTTGTGCATTAAGCCCCTAGAGAGAGACGTTGTTGTCTTGCCTATATACTGAGATCTTAGGGGCTAACAGTCCCCCAAGTGGACTGGTCTGCTACCGATTGATTGATAAATATTAAGCCACCCTAAAGGTGGCACGGGCATGAATAGCCCGTAAGTGGAGGCTCTTTCGATCCATTTCCAGTATCAACGGCTGATACTAGAGATCTGGGGATGGATGGGGGTCTTCATGGTGGATTGCAGCCTCGGAGGACTGGCTGTAAGAGTTATGAAGCTGGTGGGTTAGTGTAGACCTCTAGGTATTTTTTTCTTTGACTGAGACTTGCTGCGAGTTGATATGACCGACCTGTCGTCGGAGTTCGGTGAGGTGACCTCCATGAGAAGGTCTTGTACCGAGGAGGTGTCGTATTTGTGGAGTGGCGGTGGAGCTCCTACTAAGATTTCCTTATTTGAGGAGTCCGTAACATCCGTAGTTAGTGGTTTTGTCTTTCGTCTCGCAGCCTGAGGTAGGCTCAGGTGTCGTGGATTACTGGTAGGAGCTTTTTCAGGAACGTTGATGGTGCTGTTAGTATTATGTAGACAGCACGTCTGCTGAGATGGTGACGGTAGGAGTGTTGGGAGCTGGAGTGGAAGGTGCTGCTGTTTGTGCAGCCTGGGGCCTTTGGTGGAGCTGGAGTCTGAGTTGAGATCGACTTTGTGGAAGTCCCCTGTGTAGCAGGGGAGTAGTGAGACGTGCGCCAGAGGCTATGATGGGGTCCTGGGGCCAGATTCACGAAGCAGTTACGCAAGCACTTACGAACCTGTACATCTTTTCTCAATCTTTGGCGGTTTTGTTTATAATTATTAAACAGTTAATGAGCTCCGAAGCACCAGGAGGCTGTTTATAACAATAACAACAGTTGATTGGGAGGTTTTCATGCTTTTAAACTGTTTAATAAATGTAACCAAAGCCGTTAAAGATTGAGGAAAGATGTACACGTTCGTAAGTGCTTGCGTAACTGCTTCGTGAATCTGGCCCCAGGCCATTGGCTAGGTATAGTGCGTTCAGTTCACTGATGAAACGGTGGTTGTCTGGTCAGGCAAACCTCTCCGCCAGTCTAATAAGACCAGGGATAATGCCTGCACGGGATGCAGGGAGCTGCTAAGGAGCCTGTGGGGTCTTGGGTCCCCTTGTGAAGGCTAGGTAACCGGGTGGGAGGAGCCACTATTTGGTAAAAATGGATAGAAAGAAAGAAAGTAGATTTATAACTTGCATTACAAAATAATGTAACTTTGTGTCCTAAATATTATTACAGTTAATGTATGTATTTTCGTTTCAGTGAAGCCTTCTACAGATCATTTTAA